TATCAACATATAAATATATTTTTAAAATCAATTTTACCATGGTAAAATCAAATTATTATATCTAACTTAACAATTTAAAATTTAAGAAATTTGAATTGACTTATCCAAACAAAATATTTTAAGAATGATAGAAATTGAAATTAAAGTAATTCAAATACCAAGAATTTAAATTTCCTTAAATTTGTAAAATCTTTCATCCAAAAACTTGTTGTTTCTGAATTTTCCGTTGAATAAAGTAAAATCTCATTTATGACTTTTTCTAGTAGACATTAAATAATGATCTTTCTTCACTTTATTCTTTAACCTTTCGCATATTAAAAGTTTGGCATATAATTGAATTGGTTTATATGTACGGGAACTAATAAATTTTTTTAGGATGTATTAATTTAGTTTTCGTGCTTTTTTTTATGCCAACTAAATTCATATAATTGGACATTATTAAAATTTTGTCTCATGTCAAACACGAAAAAAACAGAAGAAAATTTGAATTGTTTTTTTAAAAATTTTCATAAGATTTTTATAAAAAAATCGTGGGTAATAGACAAACAAATCATCTTATGTGAAAACAACTTGTAAAAAAATTATTTATTTCTAAAACAAATTATCTTTATCACGAAGTCAGTTTCCAAAAATTTAGTATATAAAGGAGATAATGGAAGATAGAGTTGAACACAAAAAAATAAAAAAATTATATTAAGTCTTCTCACCGTAAACTACATCTAGTCTTTAACAAACCATCAACTATTTTACCAAACCACGTATTGATAGGTAACCGAATTCCAAATTATATTACAAGTATATATTTTCACTAAACCTATTTAGAATTTTAATAAGTATTATTCTTTAAACTTTGTCTCTCAATATACTTAGAACGAAACAAATAATGTCTAAACTTAGCTAGAGATTCAATAATAGCATAAAATTCTCGAATATAAGCAGATTATTTTTGCATTCTTAAGGATAATTTCTTAGAAAAATAAGCAATAGGATGCAAACCTTGACTCAACACAGATCCTATCCCAGTGCCTGATGCATCCGTTTCCAAAATGAATATTTCCTTGAAATTAGGAAGTGCCAATACTGGTGCAGAAATCATAGCTTCCTTAAGTTTATCAAATGCCAAAGTGTCCTCCTCAGTCCATATAAAAGCATCCTTTTTTAGTAAATCAATCAAAGGAGCAGCAAGCATAGCATAATTCTTGACAAATCTTCTATAGTATCCTGTAAGCCCCATGAATCCCCTTGATTGCTTAATGTTCTTAGGCTGAACCCAATTTTTAACTGCTGCCAATTTGGAATTATCCATAGCAACTCCATCACCTGATAATGTATGACCCAAATACTCCACTTCCTTCACTCCAAAAGCACATTTAGATAATTTTGCATACAGCTGATGCTGTTTCAAAATTCTTAAAACTATCTCCAAATGATACAAATGATCCTTCCAATTACAACTATATACCAGAATATCATCAAAGAACACCAGCACAAATCTACTCAATAGCCCTTTAAAAACCTCATTCATCAAACTCTGAAATGTAGCAGGGGCATTCGTTAATCCAAATGGCAAAAATAATCTGTCATAGGGAACCCGAAAGGGGCGCTGTGGGGTGCTAACACCTTCCCCACGCGTAACCGACTCCCTTACCCAACTCTGGTTGTAGTGGCCAAAGTTGATTTTTAAATCAATTGCCTTATCCCTTTTTCCAATGTTTTGAGTAAAACATTGGTGGCGACTCCACGAACCCTCCTTTTATGAAAACCACTAATCCATGGAGGGTCCCGCTTGGGATTAATATGGATTAGTGAGCCTTTTAATAAAATTGCTCGTTTGACGAGGTCTCAGTTTGAGAATAAGTCATTCTAGCAATCCACATTTTTAAAACGAATAACGAGTCCAACCATCCTTCGCGAATGCCGAAAGCCCGTTTCGGGCCGGTGGCGACAGTTGGTAACAAAATCCATAGAAATATCTTCCCATATGTGTTGAGGAATAGGAAGAGGCTGTAACAACCCGGTAGGCAAAGCTTGTTCCACCTTAGCTTGCTGAGACACACTACATTCTCTAATAAGTTTCCTTATATCCTGTTGCATCTTAGGCCAATGAAACTGAGCAGAAATCCTTGCCATTGTCTTAGTAACCCCAGCATGTCCCCCGATCTTAGAAGCATGAAATTCTAGCATTATTTGCTGTTGAAGCTCTCTATTATTAGGAATTTCCAATCTACCTTTCTAGAATATTAACCCATTTTTAACAGAATAAGAAACATCTTTACAGGTACCTTGTAAACACTGTGCATATAGTTCAGCCAATTGTTGATCTATTTTAACTAATTCAGCCACCTGTTTTAACCATACACCCACAGGTTCTGACCATGCCATACACAAACTTCTGCTTAAGGAATCAGCTGGTATGTTGTCTCTGCCCGATTTGTATTGGATTGTAAAATCATATCCTAAGAACTTAGGCAACCACTACTGTTGTTCAGGAGTTTGTAAAGATTGATCCAGAAGTTCCTTTAAACTTTTTTGATCAGTTCTAATTATAAATTTATGTCCCAACAAATAATGTCTAAACTTAGCTAGAGATTCAATAATAGCATAAAATTCTCGAATATAAGCAGATTATTTTTGCATTCTTAAGGATAATTTCTTAGAAAAATAAGCAATAGGATGCAAACCTTGACTCAACACAGATCCTATCCCAGTGCCTGATGCATCCGTTTCCAAAATGAATATTTCCTTGAAATTAGGAAGTGCCAATACTGGTGCAGAAATCATAGCTTCCTTAAGTTTATCAAATGCCAAAGTGTCCTCCTCAGTCCATTTAAAAGCATCCTTTTTTAGTAAATCAATCAAAGGAGCATTCCACTAAGTGTAGAGACCATGGCGGGTCGTTACACAAAGCTTCTTCAAATACCTTAATAAGTTATGAAGGTGTATATAAAAGGACGGATTCTAACATGAAGTAGGGAAAAATGTTCCTCATGGATGAATCATTAGTTTTAGTTGGATATATTAATAAAAAAATCAACATACGAGATTATTTTCTCAATTGTTCACTGATAAACCAACCCACACAATCGGTAATTTGTTTTCTCAACTTATCCCGTCAAACTATCATGGATGTGCTCATCCCCGTCGAGCCTTGTCAAATCACCGTGGCTGTGCTCATCCCCATCAAACCCTGCCGAACCACCGTAGCTGCACGTGTAGTGGCGTCACCGTGGCCGCACGCGCAGCGACGTCACCGTGGCTGCACACGCAGCGGTGTCACCGTGGCTGCACATGTAGCGGCAGAACCTAGGGTTTCCAATTTCTTTCCTCTACTCGTAATCTGATTTCGCTATGGCTAACTGGAGAGAACGAGATTTGTTTCACGGCGACGCGATCGATCCCTAGAACGACGAGGGTTTTCGACGATTCCTCTTTGGTGGACAACAATGGTGCCTCGTCATCGTGGCTGCACGCGCAACGACGACGTCACTGTGGCCACACGCACAGCGACGAAACCTAGGGTTTCCAATTTCTTTCCTCTGCTTGTAATCTGATTTCGCTAAGACTAACCGGAGAAAACGAGATTTGTTCCATGGCGACGCGAACAACGAGAGTTTCGATGATTTGTTTCCAGTGAACAATGACAACGTCGTCACCGTGGTCGCATGTGCAACAATATCATCACCGTGGCCACACGCTCAGTGATGACAACGACACCACCGTCACTCTCAAATAGTTTTATAATTTTTTTATATATTTTTCCAATTAAAAACTTGTTATTCTCAGATATTTTAATGCCTCATTCATAAAGGACATTTTTCCCTATTTTATGTTAGAATCCGTCATACAAAAGGTCAACCATAGACTATCATCTAATGTAAAACAAAAAAAAAAAAACTAATAGCCTATTTGCGCAAAAATATGCAAAGAGAATGTTTTCATGACAAGGTGATTGAAATCAAAAGCACACATTTCTTTTGACGTACTGGTTAGTTGGAAGGGTCCATGTGAGTGACATAGAATAAAAGTAAAATAAAAAATATAATAAACGATTATTTAGAGTTAATTAATGACAATTATTAAAATTATTTATTTATTTATTTTTAATAATTGGAAGTATACTCATCCATATTTATAGAGATGAAAAATGATTATAGGAAAATGTATTTCTTTTTTCTATTTTCATTTTAAATGTGCATTTAGTTGTTCTCCTCCATTTATGCCAACTAATTAATTCTTTTAAAAACATATTATCACTTTATATAATTGAACCAAAAGTTTATATTTTTTAAAATTAGAGTTAAATATCTTTATTTTAAAATAAAATATCTAAAATTGTAAATTGATAAAAATATAAGGACCAAAAATATAATATAATTTAAATATTAAATATTAATAAAAAATAATAAAATTAAATATAATAAAAATCACTATTCATAATATTAAAAATGATAAAAAGTATATATATATATATATAATTACTTTATTTATACCGGTATAGCAAAGACATTGTGTTTATGTGACTTCATAGATTTTGTTCTAAAAAAAATATAAAAATAATTGATTATAGAGTGTTAATGATTATATCTTTTTTTAAGTAATTATTTAAAAAGTGTGAAATGTTTTAAAAAACTACTAAGTAGAAAAACATCATAAACAAAATAGTCAACAAAATGGTATATTAAGTATAGATAAATACAATAAATATATTATTTAATTAATTTAAATTATATGTATAAAAAATTAATTATTTCTATTAAAATATTTCATTTTATCTTAATTAATATTTTATTATTTATTTTACTACTAAACTAATTAGAGTTAGTGATATAAAAAAATTAAAAATTGTTCGGAACTAAAAATAACAAAAAAAAAACAACTTACTAGATAGAGTTAGATATATTTAAATATTATTTTTATGTTTACTTAAATATATGTTTAGTTATATATATTTATGAAATATATTAATTTTATATTATAGCCTTTACCTCTCCAAAAAATTATCATGAATGTCTTCACTCTTCCTCCTACTTGAAGATGAAAGCTTCCATTCTCCCCATTTACCCAACCCCTCTCCCCAAAGCCCCTCTTTTCTCTCTTCCAATGGCTTCAATCCCTACACTATCTCCAACCCTACCCACACTTTCTCCTCACTCTTCACCCCATTCAAGCCCCAACCACTGCACGCTCCCTCCCACCTCCCTCTTCGGCACCAGGATCACCCTCCCACGCGCCGCCATCTCATCCTTCCGTTCCCTCCCCAACACCAATTGCCGCGCCACGTCAGCCACCGTCTCCTTCAGCCTCCCCAACCCGTAAGTTCCCTCAAACCTCTCACGCCTCTCTCCAATTTTCTTCTGGGTCGTCTCATACCGCTCAAAGTTTATGCCTTTTTTCACGTTTCTGCAGGAAACCCCATTCGGGCGCGACCGAGAAAACCCCAAAGTGAGTTCGTCGTCGTCGTTATTGTTGTTGTTGTTGTTGTCGTCGTTTATCGGTGGCGTAATTGGGTTTGTGTGTGTGTGTGTGTGATTGGTTCAGGTGGTCGGCGAGGGCCATAAAGTCGTTTGCAATGGGGGAATTGGAAGCGAGGAAGCTCAAGTATCCAAACACGGGAACCGAGGCACTTCTAATGGGGATTTTGGTTGAAGGTTAGTTACAATTGGTGTTTTGCGAATTTCAGTAATAGCTAAGAAAATTTTAAAATTAGTGCTTCTATCATTGAACTTGTCTAACTGTGTTGCATGGATACTAGATAAAGATGAGTAATTTTTTTTTTTTGAGAAAAAAAGTTATGCACTTTTACATTGTCATATGATATAATCACAAGCACTTTTTTTTTTTATCACTTCTTATGGAGAGTTCATTGACTTTTACAATAATCATCTTAATAGTTACAATAGCTACAATAGCGATGATTGATAGTGTGAAAGATTTTACATTAACAGTGCATAACCATTAAACTTTTTTTTTTAACTGTTGTTGGGGACTATATTGTGTAAAAATATAAAAGAATAACAAAGAAGTATTAGAGTTGTAATTTGAATTTAATTTAATTAGAATGCATTCGCAGGTGTTTTTACACTGTTATCTAATCATATATTGTCAAAATGTCATGTATGATAAGAGTGTTGACTTTTGCAATAATTATGTTAAAGGTCATATTTAGGGTAATTTCTAATTAGTTGACGATGTAATACTCACTTATCAGTTAAGCTTTCTGGCTGTTGCTTGCAAATATTTTTGTATTTTTATTCATTTATTTACAAATGTAACAGCTTAGTAACAAACTTTGGTGTTTATGTTTGTACTTAAGTGATATCTGATAAGTGAATTTTGCATACATAACCAAGTGTACCCAATTAGTACCAGTATTGGAAAGATATTTAAGTACCCACGTGTCATAGTTGTCCTGTAGCCATTAATTGAATGGTAAATTCAAATCCTTTAAGTTTAAGTAAGCGCAGCATGGCTTTCTTTAAATTGATAGAAAAGCAGTAGGTAAGCTTCGTGGCTGTTGCTGGAAAATGCTTTTGTATTTTTATTGGATATTTTTTATATATGTTTTATTGTCAAATTCACATTGGATTAGATACTAAATGTTTCCCTTTCCAGCTAATAACCATTATTCTTAAAATGCGGATGGGTTTAACTGAGCATAAATGTTCATTCGTAATTAATATAGTCCTATTTCTGACCTATCATTTATAGTTTTTATGAGATTTTTGTTGCCATACTTTATAGTTTATACCCATACAATTACCAACTGGATGAATGCTCCTTGTTGTATTGATATGGATGTGGTCAACTATCTTTTATAAATCCATCAGAGCACTGTGGAAGGTTGAATATCTCACGTACTTAGGTACCCTATTTGGTTTTGCATATGGTGTACTGGGCATTATAAAAGTACTTGCATTTGCCCCCAAGACTTGAGAAATATTCCATTATTCTCAATTTATAAACAATGCTGGATCAGAAAAAAGAGAGTGAAAAGAAAAATGTTATCTTCTGTTTCATCTGTCCAAATGAGTTTTGGGTTCAACAATAATGTATCTTAAGGTAGACGTGCTCAAGTTTTCATTGAAGATGAACATTTACTTGCGGTTTTTTCCTCTACTATGTGAACTATTGTATTCATATGCTTCATTCACATTGAAAGAAAAGGATACTGTGTACATGTCCATCGATGGTTCCTTTGTCACTATAACTTCCGATGGAGTAACCTAAACAAATGTGCTATTCAAAATGTGGCACTAGAGTCTATTCTTCTTCTTAATTTATTCTAGTTGAAATAAATTCCTTTTTAAGTCATTTTGTTGGCAAGATCCTGCCATTTGGGTTTCTTAAGTTATTTGTGCCTTTTGTATATCCTTGAGTTGAGCACTTAATCAATTTAAACATTGTTCTGGATTTTTGCCTTATGTATACCCTTGAACACTTAAATCAATTTTTGTTTTCCTTTCAGGAACAAGTAAAGCCGCAAAATTTTTAAGAGCTAATGGAATTACTCTTTTCAAAGTACGTGAAGAAATCATGGAGCTACTTGGGAAATCTGATATGTATTTCTTCAGCCCTGAGCACCCTCCATTGACTGAACCAGCCCAGAAAGCCCTTGATTGGGCAATTGAGGAGAAATTGAAGTCAGGTATGCATGGTTTCCGCAATGACAAGTATCAACTAATAGCCCCTTGCCAATTTTTTGTTTTAATTGATGAGCTAGATTCATTGTTCAGTTTGGGATGCCCCATTTTCAAATATTTTTCATTATGCGAGTTACTTGATGCTCAAAATGAATCTATTGGTGAGTTTGCAAGGTCTAGTAGAAAGATGTTTTCAGTTGTTGGTGTCTCTTTTGTTGCAAAGAGGCTGAACTGCTTAAGTATGAAATTTGATTTTAAATGACATCTTTTTCTCCTCATTACCCAATGAAGACTGAAAATTTGGTAATACCAAAACTTCATCAAATGCAATCAGCTTTAGTAGTTTTATAACTTTTATGTGTCTCAGCCATGTCTCTAATTTGCTTAAGTTGGTGTTCGTCACAGCTTTTTTTTAGCTTCTCTTCTCTTTTAAAGAAGTTGTGCCAAACACATTTGTGCAAAAGTTATACAAAATAAAGGACCTTTTTTTAATGAAGTAAACGCAAAATGAGGCTTTTAGCTAATTTTAGCAGCTTTTCCTTCTCTATTCCAAATTCCAAGACCCGAGACCCAAGAACCTACTAAATAACTTGAATTTTAAAGCTCTTATTTTTAGCTTTAACTTTAAAGTAACTTTTAAGATCTTAAAAAGTTAGCTTAAATGCTATCCAAGTATGGCTCATTTAGTTAACCACTTGACCATCTCGCTCTGGAAGTAAATGCTTATAATGTAATTCCTATAGATCAAAAAATGTTTTAAATGCCCAAGCCATTGCTTCCTAATAACCTTCAATTTTTTTATTTTTTTATAATGTTTTCTCGAGTATTTACTAAAACTATTATATAAAATTTAGGTGAAGGAGGAGAAATAAACGTGACACACATACTTCTAGGAATTTGGTCACAAAAAGAATCAGCAGGTCAACAGATTTTGGTTACTCTAGGTTTCAATGATGAAAAAGCCAAAGAACTTGCTAAAACAGTAAGTCTCAAGTTTTGTTACTTTGTTGATTGCCTCCTTAATGTTAATGTGTAAATATGGTTTATGTCTCTTGCAGATTGATGGAGATGTTGATTTGAGTTTCAAAAGGCAAGCGTAAGAAATTTCTTGCAATGATGGTTGGTTGACACATGTTGACCCTTGGGGTAGCAAGTTCCTCTTGAGAAAATTAACTACACTCCCTCAAGTTATGTTATTTCAGACAGTGTTGTACACCATTTTGGAAATGATGCAATTCTTATTCTTTTTTAATTTATACAAATTTTGTGGAAATCAATTTTTAAGCAGTGTGTGATGGTGGAATTGCAGTCACCCACTGCATCTTCCGTGTAACTTATCACACTTTTGAATTGTATCTGTATCATTTTCCTAACAGCGACACTTTTTATTCTGAAATTAGGTATAATGGTCCTCGAAAAGATCTTATGATCTGTGAAAGAAATGATTTATTTGTTTCATGCATTAGCCTAGAAGAAAAAGAAGTGTGGGAGGTTCTATTCGATGTTCATTGATTCGACATGGAGAATAGGAAATTACAGAAGAAAAGTAATAGGTGAGGGAATGAGTGTTCTTTTTTTTAAGAATAGGATGTGAGTTTTCAATTGAGGAGTAATTATTACTCCATATATGTAAAATTATTAAGGAGATAAATTTTTTTTAGAAACACTTTTTGGACAGGAAATTAGGAAGAAAAAATAAAATAATTTTTTTTAGAAGTTAAAATTAGTTAATTCAAAAGTTAATTTATGAAAGTTATTTGTTATTAATTTTGTCACAATCTTATTTTTAACTTTTGTATAAATTAGTTTCAGCGATAAATCTGTTTTGATTTCTTTTAAATTTATTTGGATATACTTTTTTTTTTTTGAAAGTTCATTTACTAGACAAAGTTATTTATTTTCTTTAAAGAAGTTACCAAAAATTCTTCTAAGTTGTATCTGAATAATTTTTTTTTCCTTTTAAAAGTACTTTGTGAAAAAATTATTCAAATGGACTCTAGTTTAGGGCATAACTGTTGAAAAAAAGTGCAGATAAAAAATAGCTAGCAAATATAGGTGTTTCTTTACAAAAGTACACACATATATATGCTTTGAATAGATTAGTTAGAGTAAGTTATAGTTGCACTTATTCTCAAGGAAGGTGATAGACATTTTTTTGAAGAAAAAAATTATTAAAAATCATGTACACATAACATGATACGAATATATTAATAGATTTGGTATTATTTATGGGTGAGAAAGATAATATAATATTTTAGTCAATTTTTAACTGATCTTACAATAAGTTCAAAAAATGGAAAGGTATATAATGCAATTTTATAAAAAAGAAATAGGAGGTGATAATGTAATTTATTCTATTGATTAAAAAGAAAAATAAGTAGTAGAAAAGTGAAAAATTATTAATCAAGCATATAATTGTCTAGAAAAAGTAAAAATAAAAAAGTAATTAACAAATATTTTTAAATAATACTAATATTATATGTTATAAATTGTAAATATGGATCATTGATAAGATGTCAGAATATTAATTTTTATAATTGTCAAAAAATATTATAATTTTAATAAAAATACATATTTGATAAGAATTTATATTTAAAGTAAATTTAAATATTCATTTTAATTACACTTAAAAATATCAAAAATAATTTTATCTGATTCTTGTAATGACCCGTCATGACCATCACACTACGCAACACACAACTAACCACGTATATACATATACTGAAACAGTAATATAATATAAGCACATCTACATCTCATGAATATGACCAACTATGTTGCTTGTCCAACAACTATATACAAATATTTATACAAAAGTATCTATCAACAACTGATAGTCTACAAAATAAAATCCAACTCCAAACACTACTGTGGACTCCACTACTACTCTCCAGCCTATCCCTGTCCTACTCCTATACAACATATGATCATCGCAGTCTAAACTATATGGAAAAATGCAAGGGTAAGCTAGGTAAACAACACATATAATTAAGTATGCAACACATAAACACAAATTCATTTTCACATCCAACACAAGTAACAAACAACATATATACTACACATCTTAACAACACTTCAACAATACAACACATATTAACATCGTATCAACACATGCATCGTCACACATTTCAATTCAGAGATCTCCTACAACACAAGGTGAGCAGTTTAAGTGGCTAGGTCATATCGAACCGACAACACAACCTTTTTGTGCTTGCTAGGTAAATAACAAATTTTGATAAAAATCCACAACACAATAACGATTTTTCAAACTTTGCCACTTAAGCAAGGAAGTATAGTACTATGTCAAGATATGATAATTGGGTTTAGGCCTACCATGACATTAGCTAGCTCAGCTAAGCCACTTATGTGATTAGTCCACTGACTATCCTCCAAATACTATAACCCTCCAATACTCTGTTAGGAACTAAGTTTTTAACTTCGTACTTTACTCGAATTGGCCGCTTGTAACCAGTATAGTTCGACTTGGCCTATATACTGTGATTGCTTCATACATGTGTGCCTTGACCTTGCCCACACACGGGATCAACCAAGTCCTAAAGAAGAACAACACAACATCCACTCTAAATGACAACTTCCCGATGAGGATTTTTCAACAAATTGGGCTCTCAGAGCATCACAACTATCTCAATCCACACAATAAGATGAACAACTTCAAAAACATCTCCTTTAATCCTAATAATCAACAACTCATCATCACAACTCAATCAACACACATCTTAGTAACACAGTTCAGCTCAACAACTCAAAATAACAACACAACAACTCATTATATTTTTAGAACAACAACTCAGTCAACACACAACTTTTCAACTCATATATCATATCTACTCAGCTACTCAACTTCACAACTCGTTTACAACATTATGCTTAACATGTATCTCAACGCCTCACAACTTATCACTACTCATATTCGACTTTCTACTCATCATACATCTCAATGACATATCAACATTGTTCATATAATATCCCAATATAACTATACAACTTCACAACACAATTATCAACATTCAACACCTAAAGTTCCTTATCATACAACATTTCTACAACTTATTCATCATCATTTAACAATAATACAACTCAAACAACAAACTTTAGACATACATTCATTCATCAAGCAAACAACCAACTCATTCAGAACAAAAATTTATTTGACTAAGTCCCCACGCTCAGCGCAAAATTCACGCTCAACCTCAGCATTCCAGAGGCAAAACTTACTTTCACGCTCAGCGTTAGCCTTCCAGAGGCACAACCCATTCCTATGCTTAGAACAGAGTCCCACGCTTAGCTTTAGATTTTCAACAACATTTCCAAACTGTCACGTTAAGCGTGAAAACCCACACTTAACGTCCTAAACACAGAAATTCATACTAGTAGATGAATAACCACATCTCCAAATCCTCTCAACCAATGCAATGATCAAAATATGCAACCCCAAAATCCTTGAATCCCAACAACATACAACTCATAGTTTAGAAGAAAAATAACATGCATTCACAACAACTCAAGGAAATCATCACATTTTAATCTCATATCAAAAACAACCAAAAATCTCAATTTCAACATAAAATCCCTTGAATCAAACCCTACAACTGCAGATTTCATCAATTTATCAACATTAAACCTTCAATCCGTTCAATAGTCCTGCGTTTTCAACCCAAAACCCCAAAATTACAGTTTCTCTTACCTCGGAACAGAATGAATGACGAACTTTAAGCTATTCCGAGGTTGAAGAAGAAAAAAAATAGAATGAGAATTCGATTCCAGGTTTCAAAGCCCCCTAGCACACCAATTACCTAATAACCTTGAGAATCAACAAAAAAAAATGAATGAAGTTTGAGAGAATAAAAGGGAAAATGAGAGGGAAGGAGGCTTGCGTTCTTACAATTCTAAAACAAGTAAGTTTAAAGTTCATTTCTTTCAAGACATGTTTAAATTAATATTTTTATTTGAAAAATATTTTATTTTTCAAATAATTAGAAAATATTACTTCATTCAATAAGTTTTAAAATTATATACACAAAAATAATTAAAGACAACATTTTATTATATTTCATTTCAACAAATTCCATTAAAGAATAAAATTACAAAAACACTTAATATGTTTTCTACTCTTAATTATTTAAAATATTGACCTTTATTATTTAAGAAAATATTAATATGTGAACTCTGTAAGAAACTTTAAAATAGAAATAGCGTGAATGTAATTTCGTGAAATCTCATAGTAATTTAAAGTAAATTTAGATTCTAAATAAATGCTAAAATATAATTATGATTAAAATTAAAAATTACTATTAGTAGTATTTATTCATTTCTTCCATACTCTCCACCCAAGCTCAAATTCTTTCCCTCCCCGCAGAGTGTGACTACACTGACACATAAGAGTCGGGGGACGCAAACACTCCCTCCCGCCAATCGCAAACCCTAATCGAGGGTTTAAGCTCCCAGAAGAAGAGAAACCCTCTCTCAGTCTCTGCGTCACTTCTCAACTTCGAATCCACCATGAGCTTCGCTGCCTACAAGATGATGCACTGCCCCACCGGCATCGACAACTGCGCCGCCGGCTTCCTCACCCATTCCCGCGCCGAATTCGTCCCGCTCCAGCCCGACGACCTCGACGCCGAGTGGCCCTCCCGCCCCCACCCCCACCGCGCTCCTCTCCCCAACCTCGTCGTCACCGCCGCCAACGTCCTCGAGCTCTACATCGTCCGCATCCAGGACGACCAGCCGCCCAAGCCCGTCGACTCCCGCCGTGGCACCCTCCTCGACGGCATCGCCGGCGCCTCCCTCGAGCTCGTTTGCCACTACAGGTTTCGCCTCATTCCACTCCTTCTGGAATCTGAATTGCGATTGTATCAGCTTGTTTTCAAGAAATAATCATATAATTAAACGGTTATTTCCTCGGGAGCAGTCATTTTGAGCTGTGGTAGTTGTGTGGATTTGCTGGAATTTAGAATTGAAGTATCAATAGGGGTTGGGTTGGGTGTAGCGGAAGAGGTTAGTCTGGGCAATGTGGCGAATAAAAGTTTGCATTCCCGTTGAAAGAGATGCTCACATTTAGTGTCTGACGGTGCCTAAGAGAGGATTGTCTCCAATGGTATATATCTGTGAGATATTAAATGAAAAAAAGTGTATGAAAAAGTTGTGGTAGTTATGTGGTTTTGCTGGATTTTAGAATGTGTAGTACCAATAAGGGTTGGACTGGCAAAAGAGGTTAGTTTTGACAAAGTGGCTAACTAAGGTTTGGATTCCAATCGAGAGAAGTGTTTATATTTAGTGTTTGACTGTGTCTCAAATAAGATTGTCTTTGGTGGAGTATATATGTTAGAAATTAAATAAAAAAGTGTAGGAGAAAGTTGTGTGGTTTTGCTGGAATTTAGAATGCAAAGTGAAGGAGAAAGTTTTTGTTTCTTTATGTTT